TTCCGAGTATGCTCGAAAACAAGGTATACCGGGCATGCTCTAGGCAGTGAGTGCCAGCCCGTAAGCAGGAATCATGAAAGGCAGCCGCACGCAGCTGAAATGAGTATGTCAAGATGGGCCTGCGGCTGGACTTCGAGAGATTCAAAAAGAGGATGTCAGGGCGGTCCTACAGACAGTTCCGATCCAGTTGAAGACACGAGAGCGGCGATTGCAGTAGTATGGTCACTTACTGAGGGAGCGTGATGACATTCGATAGGGAAGACGTTAGACTTCTCCTCGACTGACCACGAGAAGCTCCAAAGAAAGATGGAGGGACGTCATCAAGAAGGACCCCACTGAAATTAGAGTCACTGTAGAAAATGCGGTTCCATAAAGCAGTACAAGAGGGAAGGTGTTTCTTATTTAATACAAACCTTGCCCCAGTTCTGGGACACTTTTCATACAAAAGGATAGTGAAAATATCATCAACCGAATCCGTACACTCTATGCTTTTCTTTTACACCATCTTAACCGACAAATCCGAGCTTTTATTTACAGATTGATCAGGCCACGGGTAAGGAGAAAATTGGGAGCAGCTATGGCCCCTTAAGAAAAGGAGCAGTATATAGCAAAGGTTCGTTCCTCACCAGTATATGTAAAGGCAGCTGTTTCTGTCAGATTACCGACAACGCTGCCTTGTCGCACGCAAGCAGTCCTGCACATATGCGCACTGTGCGCCACCTTGACTCTATAAAGAAGCACCGGCTTACTTTCGAAGCTTGAACTGCGGCGAAGACAATAGTTACCGTAACGAAAACTTCAGATAGGCTTCCGGTTCTGGTGACAAACATTACCCTGAACATCTTTCTATTGCTTCCATTAAAAGGGAGCAGTCAGGACGGACAGGCAGAGAAAACGATAGGACGACGTGAGGGCAAGCCAATGGATTGATAAAAATTAGTTAATGTATTAGGTTGATGCATATGTTTTTCCCCCGACTTTTTTGTAAATATCTCAATAGCGAACCAGCCTGAAGATTAGAGGTATGCACCATCACCATCCACTGCTCAGGCAGCTTGTCGATTCCATCCTTCCAGAACGACGGGGGCTGGGACTTGAAGAAGTCGTCGAGTGCCTTTCTGACCTGATCCTTTGTTTCGAACTTTTTTCCGTCCAGAGAGCGCTGCAGGTGGCTGAACAGCCAGTAGTCAGAAGGAGCGAGGTCAGGGCTGTAGGGAGGGTGGGCGACCATCAGCCATCCGTACTTCTCCAGCTCGGCCTGGGTCGCCTTTGCAGTGTGAGGTCGGGCGTTGTCATGGTGGAAGTAGATTTCCGCATTCCTTCCACGAGTACGGTCGACGTGATCTTTCAATTTCCGCAGCTGGGTCACGTATGTGGAAGCGTCAATCGTCTGTCCCTTCTCCAGCAGCTCCCAGTACTCCATGCCTCTTCTGGACCACCAACAGGACAGGAGAACCTTTTTGGGGTGAAGGTCGGCCTTTGGGGTGGCTTCTGGCTGTTCTCCTTTGTCGACCCACTGCCGCTTCCTCACAGGGTTATCGTAGAGGACCCACTTCTCATCTCCAGTGATCATCGAGTTGAGAAAGTGAAGCCTCTTTTGGAAAGTGAGGAGTGCAGGTGGTCACCCTCCTCGAGAGGTCATAAGCGGACAGTTCATGTGGGACCCATCGACCAAGCTTTGCTACCTTGCCGAGCTTTTCTAGTCCACGTGCAACCGTCGAATGATCATAGCTAAGCATGGTCGCCATTTCTCTGGTGGTGAGGTACGGGTCCTCCTCCACGGTGGAACGTAGTACTTCCAAATCCAACTCCATCGGCCGACCCGACCTCGGAGCATCTTCGAGAGAAAAGTCTCCTTTCTTGAATTTGGCGAACCAATTCTTGCATGTCATGTAAGAGATGACGTCCTCACCGTATGTATCCACCAGCTTGGTGGGCTTCCTTTGCATTCCAGCCGAAATCGTGAAGCAAAACCAGGCAGTGGCGCAGGTACATTCTGTCACAGTGGTAATTGTGCGACATTGTGGCCTGCAAATGCAAGGTGGGTGAGTGATAGCTAGTGTGATAAAAGAGTATAATGCACACGTCACGCACACGTGATGACGAAATACCAACATGATGAATACCAACATCCATGCAAATGAAATACGAAAGGATCAAACAGGGGGGAAAAACATATGCATCAACCTAATAATAGAGTTAGTGGTTACTCGATAGAACCCCTGGGAATTACTTGTACTCCGAATTTCCATAACGGGCTTTGCTTTTCTGTGACGCTTTTAGTAGTCAAAAATTGTGTCACGTGGCAGCATCGACCTAATTGGTGTGACGTGAAAGAACTACAGGGCGCTGTCCGGCGACCGGGGGAGGGGGCATTTTGCACTTTTACTGCTGCACTAGTTCCGGTTTTCAGGTTTCACTCTGGTAAAGCCTGTGAACTCTTGTTAAGCTAGAGTAGGCTCGTCGAGCTACCATGATAAAACCTGTCAACCCTTGTGAGCTCATGAAATAGCTCTCTGGTTAGTAGCAAAGTGCCACCCCCCCCCCGTCGCCGAACGGCGCCGAAGTACAATGATTCGGCTAAGTGAGCTAGAAAGTGCTCTGTTAGCTTCTGCTCGTCGCCGTAACACAGATCTCCCGGAGCACCCATTAACTTCGCAAACAGTCGCACAATGGTGCTGCCAAACCTGCCCTTATGCAGGCAGAATGTGATAAAGGAAAAGGCGGCATGAAAATGTAGCTTTGATAGAGGGAAAATTTTGTCCAGGTTCCAGTATAGTATAGCAAGTAATAGGGTCATCTATTAGATCCACTGGGTGCACAGGACTAGGTAACCATTTTATTCAAGGAGCTGCTGCGCAAAACCTTAAAATGCTAAATACCCCTACAACTGTAAGGTGGTAATGAAGTGCTAGAGTCATATTTGGCCTATGGTTCTCATATCCGCTACGATAGCATCTAACTTTTTACATGGCACTGCATTTTTCAGGCTGCGCTACTGCTTTTATTCAACAAATGGGTTTGGCTGGAAAAGACATTCTGTACGTCGGAGACCACATTTTTGGAGATGTGCTCAAGTAAGAATCTTTAAGAATCACCATTGCACCTTTACCTTTATTACGTGTCGCGACATCGAAAGGTCACGTACGGATTGTCGTCATAATGTAAGGGCTGCTGCTCTTCCAACAGCTTGAAGAGAGCGCACGCACCATGCTCGAAGCTATACGTATATTACATGCCTCCGAAGGCCTAACGGCTAGGGAGAACCCATTGAAAAGGTATCAGAGGAGAGGGCCAATTGGACGGTATTTTGCCAAGGATGAAAGACAAGACAAACCAAGATCTAAATGAAACGTGGTTTGCAAATATAGAGCAATGAAGGGCCCGATCTGACAACTGTGACATTGACTAGGCGTGTCTACCCTTACGACAGTTTCATTTGCGCAAAACTCCACAGAATAATCAACGACAGACGAAGACGTGCTTCTTGCAAATAGCTCACTGTATCCTCGAACTTCCCCGTACCTTTTTCTCGGTAGGGTATTTACCAGGCTGTCAGTGGGAGCGGGTTATTGCCGAGTTCTCTCTAGAGGGAGCGCGCTCTCAGCACAATTTCTTGTCTTCTCTTTTTCCTCCTTTTCTGATCGATTTCGGAGGTGTCGAGCGTAGTGCGAGGCAAGAGGTGTTATCGAGCTCATTGTTAGTACAATAATAGGCTCGGTTTCCGTAATTTTGCGATAGGAAAACACTGGACAAACTGAGTAAGGCTTTACATCTAGCACCGAACAGGCTCGATATACTTTGTGTGAAGAGAACTATTGCGGTAATCCCTTTCAGGTCTAAGAAAGCAGGAGGATGGCGAACGTTGCTTATTGTACCTGAACTAAACAGGGAAATAGAGGCAAGTCATATAATAAGCCCAGTTCAGGAGATTTCACAGTCGTTTTTGCTACAGACTCTAAAGCGTGTCAGGGGGTTGGGTTTGGTGTAACACCAGCTCATTCACCACTTAATTGTTGAAACGGGCAAGCGACAACGATTGGTGGCAAACACGCTTCCGCGGCGCTCAGCCCATCCCTCCCGACCTCTCGCATCACACTCCCCAGTGTCCACAGTAAAAAAGAACTCATACTCAATACGAATTCCGGACGGTAGGCTGCTTAGAATGTGGGACAGTAGCTCAAGTCATGTTTTTGGTCTCAATCCAACTAAGATCTAGAAATTTTCTTGTGTTCTCACAGAGTGGCAGGCTTGGTGACATGAAGCCGAAGGAGGGAGTTTGACGCATTATATCCACGATGCTAGGCGATCAGCAGAGGGTTTCCCTGCTACTTGACCCGAGATTCGTCAACTCAGCTAGGTCCTGATGACAAGTTTATCTCACCGTCAGGCCTATTGAGAATAAAGACTGCGTCTTCATAGCATCCCCAAGTCAGCACTACACGAAACAGATCAATTCTAAAACATGCAAAATGGACTACGGCAACATTCATCTAAAAATAGCGTTTTAGATATGGTCTAGGCAATCTGGAAAGTTCCGAGACCTCAACGATTTGAACAACAACTTGAATGCTACCGAGGCAACGGAAGAGAACGCCAAGAAGGAAATTTTGAACGAAATCGCTGTGAGTCTAGTCTCCATTGTGCCCCTCACAGTAGGTGTTTCACCCAACGATAATGATCCGGTCCCATGTACCGTATCACATCCAGATCTGACATCCTTGTTAAAGTGGCGCGGGCTATGATTCGGCAGGAGTTCTAACGTCCTCCATCAGCTCCTATCTGTTGTGATCCCTTTTGTCACCCAGAAGTTATGCCACTGGTCCACACCTCGCATCATATCTTGGAACAAAAATACCATCGTTGCTGCGAACCACGTCATGGGTTTGGACACCCTCCCCTTCTAAAGCCTCTTATCGGATCTTATCAGCTGCTATCACTTTCTGTCACCCACCAATAGTTTACCCGTCTTGCACCGTATATCACTTCTTGGAACTAAAGTCCCGCCGTCCCTGCGACGCGCGCTTCGAATTTCATGACAGACAGACGGACAGACAGACACACACACATACACACACATGAACACACACATACACACATTTACAGGCATACTTGGCGAATTAGGAGAATATTATCACTGTCACATCGTCTCCGAGAGTTGGCACCTGTTTCCTATCAGCGCAGCTAGCTTAGCTAACAATTGCTACAAGTGAAGCTTATATCTCAGCAGCCATCGCGTAGGCACGTTAGCAGGAGCTCCTCGATTCCGTACGGGGTGAGGTAATTTCGATGCACTACATTTGTGAGAGAGTGTGTATGTGTGTGTGTTATAACAAGTGACAAGATCTGATAAAAGGACTCAGAAAGGAAGAGACCGCTTGCGCTAGATGGGCATAAAATGTGCTCACGGCAAAGCCCATTCCTCGTGGAGACCTGTGAACTCCTGTGGCCAAAGTAGCCCTCTTGCAGCATTTCGTAGCTTCGCAAGTGTTCACGCCAAAGCCGGGCCTGTTGGTTAACATGTCTCGCTAGTCTTCTTCTGTAAGCGAAGATTTACAGCTCTCACCACCCTCTTTTTCCTAAGGCCAATCAGCCCTGAATTTTGCATACTTTCAAAATTTGAAACTTCACTTTTGTTTCTCTTGAAAAATAATACCAACATCGCAGGAAGAATAATGCAAATGAATATCTCATTTGAATGTACCCTGTAGCTAAGGAAACCATTTTAAGAGAATTACCGACGACATGGAAGCGGAGTTCGGTGCAATGGGCTCATTGATAAGATGTGGCTGGAGGCAAACATATTTTGCTTCTCAAGTGAAAAAGTGAGGTTGCACTACATATCTCAGCTGTTACTCGGAGAAATTTCTTTCGTTTTCTCGGGTTAAGTTGCGCTTTAGGTATGCTGATATTTACACATTCAATGTGTACAATATTATGGAATATTCGCCTCTACACTGCTTCAACTCTCCAATCTATCTTCTTCCTCATGAAGAAAGGTTCTTGCATAAGGTTGCATGTGCAAGTCGTAAGGCTCAAGCAATTCTGGGTACCGAAGAGGTACGTGCCTTCATCCCTCCTAATTTCCGACAAACATCCCTTGTTCTCCTTTACTGATAGTTCAGAATTCAGCCGTATTTGATCCGCTAAGTTGTCTGCTGGTTTCGTGTTGTGTTTGACGAGAAATCTTCTTCGATTAAACCGTAGAGAGCTCAAACTGATAAGTGATACAGTGGGTGGGAAAGTAGCATTAAGACTGAGTGACAGGAGGCGTGTTATCTAATGAGAGCTGACAAGGGGCGTCTGGTTCAGAAGGAGGGAGCTGCGGCAGCAACAGAGAGAATGTGGTTACGGGAACTAATGTAGCAAGTTGGAGGGGACATTATTGGCGAGTGATAGGTGATAACGAGTGGTAAGAGCTGATAGGGGTAGGATCACTAAAGTCATAGCACGTGTCGCAGCAACACTGAG